CGCTACGGAGGCAGCGGCAGCGGTGGCGGCGAGCGCGGCGGCCCGCCCGGCGGCGGAGCCATGCGGGGTGACGGCGGGTAAGTGACATATACAATTCATTTTTTTATAGATAAAATTAATCAAAAAAATTTATAACTCCCAGAAATCCATATACTAATATTTGTTTTTATTTTTGCAGTGGCAGAGACAGGCAGAGGCCGTATTAATGCTACAGATAGAATTAGTATTAACATTAAGTTTTCAATGGTTTGACTGATTGTTGTAGGATTCTCACAACTTATTCCATAGGTGATCAAATGACAAGATTCTTATAAATGAACCTGTAAAATGTAGTACATATTATGTACCATTGATGTCTACTAAATATATCGTATGGTATATTTTAATATCAACCATATTAACTTGTGTATTAATATACACAGAAAACACTGAATAGAATCTTTTACTGTTTAATTTTTTTCTATGAAGGCCCAACGTATATAAGGCAATGTAAATATTCAAAACTAGGCCCTTCCTACACAATAACTTAAGTTGTCTATTCGATCGGAAGGTCTAAAAAGAGGGGGTAAAAGCCCACGATCTTACTGTTATTTCGGGTAGTCTAGAAAAGAATCGAGTTACATGTGTGTAGAATATTATGGCTGCCGTCACACATACATTATGTTTGTCGGCAGCATTAGCTTGATCTAACTCGGCCTTAGCTTGTTTTTATTCGGCCTCGGCTTGTTCTAACTCTAATTGCTGCGGCTTTAAACGAGATTCGAGCTTAACCCTTATAGATTGTGAAGATCAACTTTTACCAATGGGATTGGTACCGCGGCTCATGACCGTTCCAATCGATTTCGCTGCCTCTATGTTTTCCTCTACGTTCGACGCCACAATCAGACTGAGATCGTTTATTTCTGTGCGGCCAGCTTGTTGTTCCAGTGGCCCCGGAGTCCCCGATGTAGTTATCCGTAACTGTCTCGTAGCACGCCGTCGGCGTAGCAATTGTCGACGCTTATACTCGCCTCTACGCTGAAGTAGACTGGCTTATCGCTTTCGCGGGCGCTGTGTAGCCAGCCACTTATTGCCTTGAGTCGCTAAATGACTACAATCGCCGGATTTGAAAGATTTACGTTGCCTTGTGTACAAAGGGTCTTAGTCTACAAGTTAAGCTTTTATTTTATAGAGCGTAAGAAAGATTATTGTTATCAGATTAATAAAGATCATATATTGTGTAAATTAGGATGGTAAACGATTATATATAAAAACTAAGTATTGTGAAATTCAAATTGACCATGTTTCATGTACCGGTAGTATAAAACATCCTTTTGTTTGCATTTTTCTATATGTACTTTTAAAATAGTTCAATTTATGTGTAATAAATTTGTGAATATGTATGTAGATGTTTTATTTCATTAAAATTAAATGTAACTGTGCTAATAACCAGAATTCATTACTCAGATATTGTAGTAAGCATTTCACAATTTTTCTTTTAAAACTGTAGAATATAAACAAAATAAATGATATATTTAATTTCATTTGTTTCCAAAAAGATTGAAATATCTATGTTAGAGGATTTATGATAGTTTTCTTGTTGTTAAATTCGTGAACGTAAAAATTTGTTCTCAATAATGAATTTTATTTCTGCAGTATATGAGAATAAAAGTCGGTCAAACAACTCAATTTTTTTATTTACATATTGAAAATAAAATACTATATGTGTGGAATACCATTTCTTTGGTAAAATAATTATTATACGGTGTTATTAACAAAGAAACGTATTTATTCTACTTAAATACAATACTACGTGAGGCAGGCAGTATCTTTGTACGAATGAATTGAAATCTATCGTCTTTGGAAGCTTAGCATCCTGATGAGGAGCAGGCCCATGATGGTGGCCGCTGCTACACCCACGCCCGCCTTCCACCAGCATGAGTTGTCGCCCGCTAGCCGCGCGAACTGCTTCAGGTGTCTGCTGACACCACGATTAAAATTGAGAAATTACAGAAAAAGTTTGCATAACATTAACTAGTCAAAAGTGATAGCTTACGCATAGTAGACCTAACTTTATTTCGAATACTCTACACCATTATCTCTCATATGCATAATATTTTAATTGATGTCAAACTAAATCGACTTGTTTTAATAATTAAACTTAAGGGGATATATAACATCTCTCACAATATATCAGGCCCGTAAAAATTTATTCTAAGAAAATTTTGACAATTACTCAGCTCAGTTCGGTTTCTTAGTAAGTGAACTATACCCAATAAATCATTGATAATTTATAATATTTATTATTAATAGACTGTTTGCTGCTAAAAATAAAACAGGCCTGTAATTTTGTGAGGACTTACTAGAGATGCATATTAACTTTCACCAACCTGTGTTTGCTGAACAAAATCCATGCAGCTTGAAATTGACTGACCAAAGTAATTGATAAAATTGTTGTAATTTCAAAATATTGATTATCAGTAACAATAAAGCCTTACAAATATAAATTACAGAAGATTAATCTTCCCTTACTCAGTTGATTTAACAAGTTGATTCTATATTTAGGGCACGAATTTTAAAATACAAGTCACAGGTTCAAATTTTTCATTAAGTTTTAATTTAGGAGAATCATCTAATTAATGTTGGACTGTGTCATACTTACGGAAAGGCGGCCATTGTAGCGAGTTTGACGAAAATGTCATTCTTGTTCTCGCCGACGTGGAAAAGCTGCGGCGGCAGCAGCTGGTACTTGGCACAGAAGACGTCGGGCTGCAGAATGTACTCTTGCCGCGCGCCCGCCGCCTCGCCCTTCGTACCCACTATCAGCACTGGGATGTGACTCTCCGCAAAATACTTCTGCAATCACATTTGTTTAATATATATAATTCAACATCGGAACAATAATAATCTTTTCATATGTTGTCTGCCTTTGACAACATTCGAGGCAGGTCTTTCAGGACCTTTTATTCTCATACGAAAAATAAATATTATATTCTACGATCGTTGTTATTCCTGGCCAAAATACACACTAGAATATACAATTTATTCTGCCATTGAAATTAACGTCAAAGTTGGGCCGGGCGTGTATGTAAACTGCACTGTATACAACTTAAGCTACCCCAGGCTGTGTTAAGTTTGAGTAAACTGACAATGTATATCCTGGCGATGTACTCGAAGGATCGCGGCGCGGCGAGGTCGTAGACGAGGCAGGCGACGTCGCAGTTGACCTCGTGCGGCTGCAGGGGGTCGGAGGCGCGCGCGATGGGGATCTCGCGCAGCGCCAGGTACTTCTCCTGGCCGTACACCGCCACCGTGCTGATGCACCACTCGCCGCCCTGCCCGTCGCCGCGCTCGCCCCCACCGCCCCCACCCCCGCCCGCGTGCGCCTTTATCTTCTGCACGAACCAACAAATCTTATAAAATACGTAGCACTTCACCTTTTCATTGTCAATAGTTAATCACAAATACTGATAACTTGTCAAAGATAAGTTTTTTCCATACCTTATGCGCAATACCGAGGAAGCTCCTGCAGATGGAGGTCTTGCCGCAGGCACGCGGGCCGATCACATGGCACTGGTACACGTTGCGGCTCGATTGCTTTTTCGCCAGGTCCACCTTCTTCTCGCGGGTTACTGCGCACATCAAATAATACTGTCATATCTTTTTCTCTGTTATGCATTAAAGTATTATTAGTTTCGTATTTTTTCCAAACTGGGGAATAGTAAGCATTAAATATAACATAAGAGGTCAAGGAGTCATAATACAGTCAGTTGAGCTAATAAGTTTTTAATAATAGTAATTGTACTAATTTCAATTGTATGTTGTTATGTAATTCAATATTATCTAATAGTTATTTACTTACTATGTATAGCAGTTTTTTGTGACTCATTTTCAAGGAAGTTGTAGCCGAGGTAAGCTAAATAGGCGCATGTGTTTTGCAAGTCTAATAAAGTCATTAGAGTCCATCTACACATCCAACCTTGAAGTGTTAAAAAGCCCTGCAAAAAAAAAAGTTACAGAGTACACAATTTTTACAATGTTTCTAGAAATGTGTAAGTATCATGCAAAAAAACTATTGTCTGTTAAGAAAATAGAGGTTGACTAATAAATAAGAGAATTAAATACCTTGTCATTTGTGGGGACTGTATATCGTAAATTATGCCATGGTACCCGAGGACAACAAGAGAACACATTCTTTAGTTCTGTTGGGTTAAGCATTCCATCTTTGTCCCTGTCATACTTTTCAAATAATTGCGTCAGAAACTGTTGACCCTTGTATGACAGTTCCGTGGTACATCCAACTGGTACTTTTATGCTGAAACCAAATATTTTTATAGTTAATGAAAAAACTTTGGACAAAAGGCTAAATAAAAAAGTTATTAAATAAAATGCTAAGCTAATGGTATAAGGCATGATGATAATAAAATGGTTTCAATAACACAAATTTAAGTAACCATTTAAAATACTTCACATTTCGAAAATGCTTTGAAATAAAATATAAACATATGTTTTTTTTGTATGTTAGTATGTTATAAACTTTTGTTATATATTTATCGTAACTTACTTTGCATACAGATAACTGTGTGTTAACTCTAAACCTTCGTCATAACCAAATTTTCGCAAAACAGTCCATGTTGTTTCATTCCTTCCTCTTTGTATAAACAGGCAGTGCAAGAAAATAAATCCTTTCATTGTGATGCACTCATTTTCTATACCACCAGCTATATTTTGTGCAATAACAGATTTTACTTCATCTAAAACCTAAAAGAAATGTAATTTGGAGATACAAACTTTTTTTTCATAATGAATTACATCCACAGTTTTTTTCTTTTACAAGTATAATGCTTTAATTTTATTAATGAACACACTTCAAATGATCCAACATACATACGGTGGAGGAAAACATTGTTATGCAACCTGCACATATCTAAAAAATTCAAAGATATGAGTTAAGTCAACCACTGGGCCAGCATGGCTGGCTATGGCCTAATCACCCCTGACTTAGGGTAGGCTCCAAGCCCCTCAGTGGGGAAGTATAGTGCGCTGATGATAATGAATACACATTTGTTTAAATTACAAAACTGTAAACAAACCTGCAATTGTAAAGGAGTGTCAAAGCATTTCTTTTGAAATACAGTTATTTCATAGTCATCAAGTAGTCCATCACCATCCAAATCACAAATTTTAAATATTCTTGATAATGCTTTTTTACACCTTTCAGTTAACTGAAAATAAAAACATTCAAAACAATACAGGCAAGCATTTGTGTTCTCTAACAAAATCCAACCAACATATCTTACTAATATTGTAATATAATATATTTTATATAAATACCTCTTGTTCTTCAATAGAATAAATAGGTCCAATTGGATGTAACACTGCTTTTTGTGCGTTATAAAACATTTCAGAAACGTTTGTTAATGTTTTGGCAGAACACTCTATACACCTATCCACTTCTGGATATTCTTCTGCAATATCCCAAATATTCTGAAATACATAATTTAAATCACATTGTAAAGCCAGCAACACATCTACTTGAGTGTTGCAGATGATCACCTCATTGTTCTTGCCTTTTTTTGTTTCCCTTCTTTTATAAATAAAAGGGTTTTTAAATCTTAAATTTTAATATTATTTCACTTTCAAAGTGACACAAATAATAGTTCAAACCTACAGAGACATGTTTTCAGTATTGTGTTATATTATAATTGCACAAAGCCTCAGTAATCACAAATAAATTATGATTGTCATTGTTATGATCTGAAACTTATTTATTTAATTTTATATTAAAGAATATTAAATTAACTTACATCTATCACTGAGTAATCAATGAGGTCTATTTTATTTCCCACCAAAATTACAGGTTTCCTACAGTCGTCAGGACAGTTATCTCTTACAAATGGGAGCCAGTATGTTGCTATTTTATCAAGTGTTTCTTGTTTATCAACAGAAAATACAATACATATAACATGGGCTTTTTCTATTTCTTCTGCCACTTGTTCGATAGATTGTTCGGCGACTGGAATAAAAATAAAGTTTGTTTTTTAACCTGACTAGATATAAAACATTCGATTATAACTGAATACTTACGACACACATCAACGATGTTCGTGGGAACTTGTTCGGGGGTTACGTCTGCAGGTATAGTGATCTCTTCCGCCTTTGGAGGTACATGTTCTGTAAACTCTTCTGTTACCAAAGACAGAATCAACGAAGTTTTACCGACTCCTGGCTCACCTAACAAAATAATCCGAACTGTCCTAGGTACAGTTTCATACACCATTTTGGTAGATTTGATGCCACTTTCGGCATAACATTAAATAAATATTTCTAAAATCTCTCTCATATCAACGTTGAATTTGTTATAATCACAAAATAGCTTAAACTTAATCATAAAATAAAAATA